AGAAGTGACCAGCAAGTCCCTGCAGGCTGCTTCTATTCCTGCAGCTGGTTGGCCAGGAACTGTGAACCATGGCCAATAGGAGTTGCGGGTGGCTGTATCTGCAGATAAATAATACATCTGGCTACCTGCCAGGGGCAAATTGTATCCGGCCCACAAGCCCACTTATCGTTTGCCCCCGTCCTAAGCTTTTCTTTATGAAGTTTGGAACAAATCACAAAGTTTAGGCTTTTTTTTGGAAAAAAAATAGAGTAAAAAGAATAATTTGAGTCCACTATAAAAATTATTGATATTTTTTTAAAGTTACTTCCATTTTAGCTCTGTATATTTCTGGTAAGTTTGCTCTATTGAGAGACATGTGGCAAATGTCTGGAGATGTAAAGTGACTGATACATATTTGAGTCAGTAAGAATTATTCATGGGTTTATTTTTCTGAATGTCCTATCAACTGAATGAGATGCAAGGTTGATCGTGAGATGATGTGGTGCGGCAGCAGCATTGCTATTTGTATCAGCTGCTACTGTATACAATCTATAATCTGGTACCATGCATGTTGTCAGTAAATGGCATGTGCACATTACAAGCCTGTAGAATGTAGCCTTTTCATATCTCATTAAACCAGGAAAAAAAAAAGAAATCCTATCCTTGATCCTGGTAGCACATTTGAGGAAAAAAACAGGAAGCAACTATCGTTAGATGTTGGCTTTCCAAGACATAATGCTCACCAGTTGGATATTGGTGAATGCCTCCATGGTTTTTACAGCTCTCCTGGGCTTCTGAAAGTAATGCACAAGCAATCACATTTGGTATAATCCTTTTTGGTAGGAGCCAAAAGACTGTCAAAATTGCACAGTAGAACCTGAAATTAATACCAGATTTTTCAGGTATCTCTTATTAGCCCACCATTTCTACTCGATTTGCTATCAGAAAATCAAATGGTGCTGTGAGAACTTTTTTGTTACCCACACTGGCAAGTTTGTGACCACCTTTAGTCAAAGTGTCTGCAAGAAAATAGATTGAAATCCAGCTCTATTCATGAGAATGTGAACTGACATGGCATAGGGTAATGGGGATATAATCAGTAGTCTATTATTTATTGTCACAACAATGGTTTTTAAAACAGTGGGCCGTGTGATATCCAATACTGCATCCCCTCTAAAATCAATATGTTTTAGGAGATTGGCTCTAGGTAGTATCATCATACTACCATTAGTGGAATCTTTAGGAACAGGAAAAGGGCTCCATTTGAATCTTTTAAATGGGCAGTGTTTGACAGGGATGGGGGGTGCACTATGATTCAGTATTTCCAGGATATACAAATTCATTTATAGCTACTTAAGTGGTTTTACAAATAGGTACCTAGCAATTATTTTTAAACATACCTTTCCAAAGCGAGTGATGTCTGAGAATAATGACAATGCTAGATAATTCTCACACAATAATTGCTGCAGTAATTAATTTCAAACTTTAATAAAGTAATTTCAAACTTTATTAAAATCCTCTGGGTACAAATTTAGCATGCTTTGTATTTCATCTCTTGCTAATGGACGTGCAAGTACCTTGGCAAGTGTTTAGCGTTTTAAGTAAGTGACACAAAAAAGGATTAGTTTTTCTCATCTTATATAGTCCTCCTGTATCTGGTACTGAATAGGGAGGGTAAGGACTAGTCGACTCTCCGATAAGCTTATCAGATAATCGACAGGATAGTCAACTTGTCGCACCCTCAGCCCCTTTCTACCTCTATCAGATAGAGGCGGGAAGAGGAGGGTACTTGAAAGTTGCAGCGCCGCAGGGAGCCCGTTATCCCGGGCTCGGTGCGGCACTGCCACTCTGAAATGCTCCAGCGCGAGATCAGCTGGGGACTGATCACAGCGGCAGTGCCACTTGGAGCCCAGGATCAGATCCCGGGTTGCATGCGGTGCACCAGCTTTGAAATGTACAAGAGTCCCCAGCTGGGGCTCTTGTGCATTGCAAAGAGGAAGCGCTGTATGGAGCCTGGGGCCCGTGTGGGACTCTGAATCCCCCACTGACCCCAGGTTCCATGTGGCATTCCAACTTTGAAATGCATTAGAGCCCCAGCTGGGGCTCTTGTACAGTTCAAAGGCGGAACGCGGACGTGCCTATCGAGTAGTCAATGGTAATTCCATCGACTACTCGACTAGTAAATTTATTGCTAGTTAATATTCCTAGTACTGAAATACTATTGTATGACTCACTACTGTAGTAGCTGCAGAATTACATTTCTTCCCATTTAGGAAAAGCAATTTGTCCTCTCACTCCAGTAGATTAAATCATTCTGATGTTGTAGCATATAGAAGTATGCCATCCCTTTCTGTACTGTCAGGAGTAAGACTTCAGTATAATAGCACAATGTAAAAACTAGGTATTTGTCACTCGTAAATCACTAAGTGTCAGGTGGCATCCGCTCCTGGGGCACCAGGCCCCCAAGTCACTGGCCCTGTGAGCTGCCAGCCTCCAGATCAGCTCTACTACTAGATGCTCTCAACCTCTGCTGCTAGGGACTCTGGCTAGGTCTATACTGCATCCCTCTGTCGACAGAGGGATGCAAATCAAGCACGTGGAAATTGCTAATGAAGCAGGGATTTAAATATCCCGTGCTTCATTAGCATAAACATGGCTGCCGCTTTTTTTGAAATGGAGGTTTTTCGGAAATAGATGCGGATCTGTCGAAAATAAACCCTTTTTCGACAGATCCTGTATTCCTGAAAAAATGAGGTTTACAGGATCTGTCGAAAAAGGGTTTATTTTTGGCAGATCTGTGTCTAGACTGCCGTTTTTTGAAAGCTCTGTTTCGGGGGAGAAAAGCGGCAGCCATGTTTATGCTAATGAAGCATGGATATTTAAATCCCTGCTTCATTAGCAATTTTGACGTGCCTAATCTACATCTCTCTGTCGACAGAGAGGTGTAGTCTAGACACAGCCTCTATGGTCCTGTGGATCAGAGTTTCCCAGGTGAGAGAGGTTCAGTCTGTATTAAAATATAGTAATTTTAGGTATATCATATCTTATTGCAGTGCCTAGAAGTCCCAAGTGAGATAAAATGCATTGGGTTAAATGCTGTACATTTATATGGGAAGACCTGAAAACTTATGCTTTGTCTACTCTGTATGTTCAGATAGTAGAGGAAGGAGTTCCTTTTATCCCCAATTGACAGATGGGCTGTGTCCACACTCAGGGGTTCTTTCGAAAAAAGTAGCCTTTTTTCGAAAGAACTTCCCCTGCATCCAGACTCAAGCCGCGTTCTTTCGAAATTATTTCGAAAGAACGCGGCTTTTCTTTCGATGGCGGTAAACCTCGTTTCACGAGGAAGAACGCCTTCCTTCGAAAGTTCTTCTTTCGAAGGAAGGCGTTCTTCAATGTAAAGAGGCTGTCTTCGAAAGAGAGCATCCAGACTCGCTGGGTGCTCTCTTTCGAAAAAGCGGATTTCCGCTATCGAAAGATCCGCCTGCAGTCTAGACGCGATCTTTCGAAAGAGGCTCTTTCGAAAGATGCTTTCGAAAGAGGCTCTTTCGAAAGAAGCCTGCAGTCTAGACACACCCATGGAGAACCAAGGCAGAGACTTGCTGAAAGTCTCATGGGAAGCCTGCAGCCATGCCAAGAACTACGCTGTGCACACACTGTTCATCTATGAAGTATCTTTGCCTTTCAGACACCTTTAAACAGACCTCTAATATACCATACAAGTACATTTCACTTCTAGCGTCTCACCTCAAGGATACGGTCAGATTTTTATCTGTACAATTTAATATAGGAAATAGCTTTACTATCAAAGGAAGCATGTGTACATATTTTATAGGCTGAGAAATCAGCTCAGAATTGTTTTTATTTTCCAGAAGACATGGGATTTCAGTTTTTCTTGGCAGTACTTTTTGGAAATCTGCAAGATTAACTCGTTAGGACATTTTCTTTGCTGTTCAATTTTTTTTCTGACGAATAAAGATTGCAAACTGCAAATGGAAAATATTATATGGACCAGTGGACCTATTAATTGCCCGGCTGGTCTAGTTAATATTTTTAAAGTTAATCTTCTACACATTTATATTTTCATGTGCTTGTTTTTTTGAGTGCTGTCTTTTTCCCCCCCTTGCTTCAGAGCAAGCCAAGTGACTTGAAAAATTAGATCTATGCAATTGCAATTTCACAGTTGTTCATAAATGCTTTCACTCAAATGGGCCATCTTGCAAGTTCTTCATGGACAATAAGTTTAGCATTAATACAAATTGTTTTGTTGCCTTATTTTTTTAGGTGTGTTTTAGCCTTCATTCTCAGTGGCCACCAGTTTGAGTCTGAACAGTCCCAGACAAATGGGGTTGTTTGTTTAGAGGTAGCTGTGCCTCTAGGTGCAGATATGAGCAGGACTTGGGTATACATTGCTCCACCCCATGAATATCCTGCCTCAGTTGATACTTTGACACAATTCCTTCCTTGTTTTCCCCTTCCTTGAGTGCTGCTGGAGGTCTGTATTCATTCGCCTGTTGTCCTAAACCATCAGCAAATCATAACCCTTCTCCCAGCACAAATTAGTGTTGGCTAGTGCATTGGGGAGCAGAATCAAGGCTCTACCCATTCTCTGTCCACCTACCCCCTGGGGAAGTAAGCAGATATCTCTAGTGGGTCAGAATTAAGATGGCCTGGAGCTCTAACTTGGTTTTCTCATTTTCAGAAGGTTGAGTTTTGCTGAATTCTATTTTCTAGAAAGGCATGAGATGCCATTGGACAATCTTTATTTTTTTTGCCAGTGAATAATGTCATTCAGCACAATTTCATAGAAGGTAGTTCTTGTAATCCTGCCTCACCCCCAAAAAGACACAAAATGGGTTTATTTTACAAATCCAGTTGATAAAAGCGGCTGTGTTATTATGGTGTCATTGGATTTCTCCTGGGCTTTACTTTAAACACATTAAATGGATTAAAAACTGGGTTACTAACATGTCAAAATGGGGAGATGGCAATGAGGAGAGCTGTTTCCTGCAGGTTCCCCCCAAGAATTAGTTCTTGGTCCAACTCTTAAATATTTTGATTAGTGATCTGGACAATTATATATAATATTTGCTGGAGAGTTTGCAGATGAGACAAATATCGGTGGGGCAGATTACAGTTGTGGGGCAATCTGACTCCAGTGGCTAAATTGTTGGGATTGTGACTGTTTTAATGCAGTCTAATCAAGGTTATAGATCTGGTAATCAAGAATACAGGTTATCTTCAGGATGAGAGACTGCCTATGAAGATAGTAATTTAGAGGGATTTAGGACTCATCATACAAAATTAACTCAATCAGTGCAGTACTGAGACCAAAAGATCAAATGGAAAGAAAACCCAGAATATTTTCCTCAGAAGCATGAGATTGACCTAAACTGGCGGTGGGACACTGGGCTGAGTGGACCTTCTGAGAGGTAATACAGAAAATCTTTTCTAGATGCCTGGCTGGTATGTCTTGCTCCCATGCTAGAAGGGTTTTTCCTTCTTCTGTAAATAAATTGTGGTTTGCCTGCAGGAATCATCTGCACATAATCTCATCTCATAATTTCCTGGTTTTCCAGAGGTTATGGTCTTTGGCACACAGAACAAAACCTACAGCCCATGTTTGTTCAATTTTACAGTTGCTCAATTAAAATAAAAATATGTATCCCAAAATATTCAAGATGTGTAACAAGGCCCAGTTGTGCAAACCAGAGTTCTTGCATTTCCTAGCATTGTGCTTCAACATTGTGGGTATGTCTAGGCCACATCCCTCTGTCGCTAGAGGGATATAAATTAGACATACCGAAATTGCTAATGAAGTGGGGATTTAAATATCCTGTGCTTCCTTTGAATAAAAATGGCCACCGCCTTTTGCCGACGCGGCGATTTTCCAGCAAAAAGCGGCAGTCTAGACGGGGATCGGTTGACAAGGAAAGCCTTTTTCAACCGATTCCTTATGCCTCGTGTAACGTGGTTTACAGGATCAGTCAGAGAAGGCTTTCCTTGTCGACCGATCCCTGTTTAGACTGCCGCTTTTTGCCGGCAAATTGCTGCGTTGGCAAAAAGCGGCTGCCATGTTTGTTCTATTTAAATCCTTGCTTCATTAGCAATTTCAGTAGGTCTAGTTTACATCCCTCTGGCGACAGAGGGCTGTAGTCGAGACATAACCTGTGTGAACATCCCTTATTTTTTGTCCCCTTGCAATACCAAGATGGTGTAGAGTATGCACTGGTAAAAGGTCAACTTGAAATGTTCTTTGAAACAAAAAATTCCTAATGGTCATAAAACCCCAATTTAATACAAGGGGAAGACTGAACCAGTGCAAATAAAAACACTGTTCAATAAGGCATAGAGTTGTTCTTTCATGTAATTGCCAAGATCTAGGTTGAAGCTTTTGGGATTTTTTTGTCACAATTAATGACCTCACTATCACTCTATAAAATAAAAAAGCAAACGAACTGGCATGAAATGTAACATTTTTAAAAACTAGGTTCAGCCATCTGGTGGAAAAAATTATTTTAATGCATATGCCAATATGAATTTCTCTTTTGGACCTGTTTGAAGGAGCCATCTTACAGCAGCTTGATTTAAATATGGCCTTAATTTAAAGAGAGGTCAAAGCCTACTCTGGTCAGGCATGACAAAGCAGGAAAGGCATGGTAGTATTTAATGGGCTGCAACTCCCAGGACTGGACTAAGATGTAACCAACTATCTTTTAATCTGTAGCATTTGTATTATGCCCGCTCCCTGCACATTAGAAATAGTGGTGCTAGGGCGACAGTATTGTGAAATTGAGATGTCTTAGTAAAAACCCGTCCAGAATCTTTGACCAGAGATTCTGTCTGTTGTACTAAAGAGCAGTGGGGAAAAGAAGAGGCGCATTTAGGCTAGAATGATCATTCAGCTTGGATTTAATTGTTTTGCTTTGGTTAAGACTAATAATACAAGAATCTTGCTGTTTTTGCTAAATCACGTAACTGTGCTGGGAGATTTTTTTACCTATGGACTAAAATCTGATTTTTCAACTAAATACAAGCTTTATGCCGCAGCGTATGGCTATCCTGAAAAGATAATGCTACCATGACACAGCAGTTTTTTGACCTCCTTAGATCTTCTTTTTGTATTACTCCTTATTCTGAAATATGCATTATCCAAGTTACTTCACACTCAGGGCGTTATTCCCATCATGAGCTGCGTTTCCTTTTAATATCTATTGCCATGGAAGGTAGAAGGAAGAGGAATGGCTATAGTAGACGAAGCAGGTATAGTGCCCCCAGGAGTGAGACTGTGCTTGCTAACACCAGTTATTATACCTATTCTGTAGCTGCAGGCTTTCCTCCTCTAACCACTGGGGAGGAGACAGAAGTCATAGCCACACTCAGACAAACTCACCGTTCGCCACAGGTACAACTACCCAAATTATGGCTGGTGAATTATGTGGGATGTAGGAGGTTACCAGAATGCCTTACAACCATAATCTCTCCTTATGTGGGCACATTTGTTAGGTCTCATACAATAGCAAAGAGAATAAGGGAGACCGCAAACTGTGAGTTGATGCTTATAATAGAAAGTAATCTGAGCCAGCCATGGGAAAAGTATGCGCATGGGTGTTTTGGGTCACAGTGGTGGTCCTGTTAACAGGCATCTTATATGCCTGTTAAAATATGACACTGTTTTGTTTGAATTGTGTTTGAGTTCTGGTAGCTGGATGATTTGCCAATGAAATATTGGGTGAGGAGAAAATATCATTTACAATAATCTCTTGATCTTGGCTTGATCAGTACCTCTGTTATACAGGGCATTCCCTGTTATATATAACCCCGGTGTATGTCGCTTCTGCACTAACGCTGTTGATGCTTGTCGGAACTGTTGTGCTGTAAGTCCTCCCATTCCCCGTTTTTACGTTGTGCCAAAAAAAAAAAATTAGTGCTAAAAAAATTCCCCGCTTTATGTCGTTTTGCTATATGTCCACTTTTTTGGAATATATCTTGGACATATAGAAGGGACACCCTGTAGAAAGACTTTCAGTCTGTCTTTTCTAGTTTGTAGTAGCTTAAAAGGTCTTTGGTAGCTACACGGAAGCCCTTTTTTGATACTTGCTAGTATATATTTTTCTAGATCAGCAATATGACACAACATTAGTGGATTCAAGTGCAGATCTTGTGTGCTAGTATATTTGTATTTAAATTGTAATAATCTATTAGAACTTTCCATTTGGAATCAACATGCTTTCTTCCCTGGTGGTGTGATTGCAATTAAACATTGCAAAGCCAGATTCTCTGTATTGAAAATTCTGGCTGTTGTGGTAGATATCATGTGTGAGCAGCAAAACATTTAACTAGGGCTATGGCTTATTTAACTTAGCATCTAGTTGTAAATTCTCTTACTTTTCATATTGAATGTAGCAGCTTGTGATTGTGAATCCATCTGCCTTTGATGCAGTTCTTGAGTCTTTTCTGTGTGTTTTAGCTGAAATTGCATATTAATAAGAAGGTGGAAAAACTATCCAGCTAATGCATCCAGTTAGTTAAGAATCAAGTCACATATTTTATTTACTTAAACCCATCTGTGCTTGTTTTACCAGTAATATATTCGGTCTGCGCCCTGTGGACTACGCAGAAACTGAAAAGATGAAGTCTGTGCTAATGCTACCGATGAAGAATGAATCGTATTCATTTAGTCAGTGCTCAGAAGTAAGTGGTTCTAAAAATAAAATCCATCTTGTGAGCCCAGAACACTTTGGACTTAAGGTAACAAGGGCACCTGGCTGGATAGACAGGTTAAAAATGGACCTGGGAAAAACAGTCCCAGTCAAATTTTTCAAGCTCTCCAACAATTTCAAGACGCTTTCTGTGACAAATTATTTATACGGAAAGTGGCATGACGAATTTATATGCAAGACTGTGGGGTCATCTCCATAACTTAGAATGGCTTTGTTGATTGGGAACGGGCATATTATTTACAAACTATTGACAAACTTTGTTCCGCATCCTGTGTTGTCTGCCTCTGTTATTTGTTGTAGTATACCACATCCAGTAAAAAGCACTTATCCTTTGTTGTAAATGCTTTTACATACTTTCAAATATAATAAGCTATTCCACTATCTCCCTTCACCCAGTAATTAAGATGTTTTCAGCTGCTGGGCTATTACACATCTTTACAGTCTTCTGCCAGCGGCCTTTCAGTTTCTTGCAGCTGGAGAAAACAAATGGGCCACACAGCATGCCTTGAACAATCACAAATGTAGGACAGCGTATAGATGATGGTCTTATTTACACAAAGGCCCCTTTTCACTACTAGAGGAATGTATAGAGGCTTTAGTGTAAACGAGAATTACAGATTTCTCTGTGTACCCATAATAGGTAATAAACACATTTACTTTTCATTGTTTAGAATGCCCTGCAAGACCTTTGGGGGTGGAGGAGAATGATGGTGCCTCTTGGGACAAACCTAGCTTTGATACACTTGAACCTCTCTAATCCAGCAACCCTGACAAATAGGGTATGCCGGAAGAAGGAAGTTTTTGGACCATGGAAGGCAGTGGGGTGGGATCTGGGAAAGAGGGAGGTGTGGGGGGGATGGGAATGCAGTACTTACCTGGCGCCCCACCTCCAAGGATCTTATGTGACTCTGTGCCCCCTGCCGTTCTCAAGCATCGCCTTCCGTTGTTATGGGAGCAGCGGGGTGCGAGAGGGAGCTTCCAGACCAGTGCTGTGCCGCCATTCCCCAAGCTGGGTGTAGGGGGAGCGGCAGAACCACTTGTTCCTCCCCCTGCCAGGTTCTGAACCATGGGTGTTCCTGGATCAGACACATCCAGATTAGGGAGGTTCAGGTGTGCTGCAGCTTACATGGCTGTCTCCTGTAGAATAGCTTCAGCCTTACAGTGCGTCATTACTGTAACATTTGTGTATCATGTTTAAGCTAACGGATTGGCACCCATTCATATATTTTGTGTGTCTGTGTGTCTTCAGTGTAAATAAGAAACAATATGGTAGCATCTAGAGGACCCAGTCAAAGAAAACAACTGTGTTAGGTACTAAACATTAAGGGTTACTTTTAAATTCTTTACCTTCAGTGCCCCACTTTAAACTGTTCAGAGCACATTGATTTAAAATGTTTCTGAGTACGTTATGGTCTTCTCTTGATTAATACTCAGTAACGGCTGTTAGCTGAGGGAGGGGGAAAAATCCCTGCTCTCTACATTTGAAAGTATCAGGTTGAGTTCCTTGTCATGTTATTGAGACCTATGGATGCTAGACATGTACTGCAGTTCCCAAACAGAACATGCTGCGTCTTCATCAACCCATTTGCTGAAAGCTGCTAATGATTCCAAAAGGGTCCCCAAGACAGAACTTTTCGTTCAAAGCCATTTTCAAATAGTACCTTACATAAATTAAAGAAAGTATCTACAATGCCATAGCATTCCCTCTAGAGCTAGTTGGTTACATATAGATTTATGTATGAATGCCGTGTCCTGGAAGATACCATAAAATATTTATTTCAGAGGCTTATTCTTTATTTAATAGACTGTCAAATAGATTAGTTGCTTTCTTTAAGTCCCCCCCACATTCAGTTTAGGAAGAACTTAGCACTTTTTTTTCTTGTCCTCACCCAGCAAGCAAGCCCAGGCCACACCAGAGAAGGGCCTGTTGTTCTGCTGGGAAGTGGCCTCACTTCAGAACAACAAAAATCACTGAGCAAACTCGCAGCGGTGCTGAAGGCTAAAAAATGTGTCGCGTTTAACAGCACAGGTAAGTAAGCCTGCGTTGGATGTGTTTTAATACTGTCTGTACAAGACTTGTGCTTTTTGGCTCTCCGTGTTAACTGCATAATGGGTGGTAGATTGAAATGAAACTTGAGGTGTGACGGGCCGGGCCTGGGCGCAGCTGAGGGCGTCCGCTCAGGGTGAATTGCTTAAAACTCGGGGCTCCTTACAGCCCCAGACTGGAGACCTCCCAGACAGGTCACAAACCAGTCACACCGAACGCTTCAGCTGCCAATCTGGCCAGCCAGAAGCCTCACGAGCAAAAACCCTCTCACACCCCAGCTCTTCCTGTGCCCCAATCTTCCCCGGGCCTGCACACAGGTGAAGGGTTATAGAACCCAATCTCACCTACCCCAAAGGGGTTCTTCCTGTACCAAGAAACCTGCCACAGTTCCCAATCAATTTACACTCTGGATCTTACCCACAAGATCATGTTGGGCCAATCCTTTAGAATCTAAAGCTTTATTACTAAAAGAAAGAAAAGCATGACAGTTACTGTGTCTAGATTTCTGCATTCGTTGACAGGGACTCTTGTTACCTTTTAAACGTTGTGTGTCTTTTTGCATACATTGAGCAGTTGTGGAGAAATCCTTAATTCCTAGAGAAATCAGGTTCCCTCCTTATTTTTTTGGTAAGATTGCCGATGTGCAGAGAACATGGTTGGGGCGGAGGGTGCATATTAAATGTGTGTTGTGCCAATGAAGCATGTACAGTTTATATAACACAAATTTCATTCAACATCTCACATGACCCCCTTTGTACAGACTTTTGGGGCAAGCTCCCCTCCCCCCCCCAATGGGGCAGCAGTGATTTGCCTTCTCACTTTATCCTTCTGTCACGTTACTGGATTTTATAGTATTTATGCCTCTAATAGTACTGAAGCAATATAAAGTTTCATGTTTATTAGCCCACAGTCTTATGGGCACTCTTTGTGGAGAGAGAAGCCTGTGGTACAAGAGATGATAGAAACTAGCTACCAGCAAAAATGAGTTGGCTAGAAATGTTCCCTTTAAAAGGGAGCCAACCACTAGGATTCTAAATCTGAGTTCTCCCCCTCCTCAGGCAAGACAGGCAGAATTCCTCAAACTCTTGGCTTTGGAGCCAGCTACATTGCTCGAAGGGCACTGGGCCATATGAGGTGGTAGAATAACCCTCAACCTTCCTCAGCTGGAGCCTTCCACGCCATTACCTCTGGACCGCAGTTGGTCAAAGTGCTGCCTGCAGGAGCTCGGTATGTCTGTCAGGCACTGGACACACAGAATCATAGACTAGAATCAGAACTGGAAGAGACCTCAGGAGGTCATCAAATCCAGCCCCCTGCCCAAGGCAGGACCAATCCCAACTAAATCAACCCAGCCAGGGCTTTGTCAAGCCAAGACGTAAAAACCTCTGGGAATGGAGATTCCACCCCCTCCCTAGGGAACCCATTCCAGTGCTTCACCACCCTCCTAGTGAAATAATTTTTCCTAATATCCAACCTAGATCTCTCCTGCTGTAACCTAGACCATTGCTCCTTGTTCTGCCATCCGTCACTACTGAGAACAGCCTTTCTCCATCCTCTTTGGAACCTCCCTTCAGGAAGTTGAAGGCTGCTATCAAATCCCCCCTCACTCTTCCCTTCTGCAGACCAAACAATCCCAAACCCCTCAGCCTCTCCTCATAGGTGATGTGCTCCAGCCCCCTAATCATTTTGGTTGCCTTCTGCTGGACTCTCTCCAATGGGTCCACATCCTTTCTATAGTGGGGGGCCCAGAACTGGACACAATACTCCAGATGTAACCTCACCAGAGCCGAATAAAGGGGGAAAAAGGATACATCTAGTATCCTTATCCAAGAACCGTCCTTCCCCTCCAGTCAGAACCATGAATAACATTTCGGCGTGTGAAGCCCTTTGCCTTGGGTGCTTTTGGCCTAGTGTTTTGTCTTTGGGTTTCTTTGTTTTCTGTTGCATTTCAGCACCTGTGCGGCTGGTGTTTTTGCAACCTTCTTGCACTGTGGCAGCAATTTTTTGGGTAACATCAGCACGAGTCTCTGTTTGTGTGGGTGTAATGGGCACTTAGCACTCTTGAGCTGTAGTGCTGAGGCATCGGAACACTAATGTTTGCCATGGTTTGGCACCTGTCGTAGTGCTCTTAATTCCTTTTATTGATTGGCTTATTCCCTTGAGAGCTTTGCCACACATTAAATATAGCTCTGGCTGAAAGATTCTCAGGCTGTGGTTAAGCTGATCACATGTACTGGGAGCGCTAAGAAGGGGCCTGTCTTATGTTCCACCTAACTACTCTTGCATATAGCGTCTAAAAATCTTGAACTGAGGAAATTAACACCAGTCATGCGTTACATACCAGCTCCAGCAGTGAGAATCTTATTGCAATTATACCTTTGGAGGAGAAGCAGGTTTAGAGATTAATAATATTTCCCCCTTTTCTACATTGCAAGGCTACGCTTACAAAAACCAAAAGGTCTCTCTTTTTGCAGCAGGCTGTGGGTTTTCAAGTATAACGCTCATACGCACAAGTTTATAAAGATAAGCTTTTAATCACAGTGATTAAAACCAGATTTTGAGGGTGGGGAAATGGCTCTGTAGAAATGAGAAGGACATTTTAAAATTGGGGATGATTGGATTTGCAACAAGTCTGATGCAGTTATTGAAGTTTGTAAGCTTTCTTACATGTGCAATTTTTTACTCTAGTGACTCACGTCGTTATCCCTAATGATCCAGTACGAAGTACTAGCAAATGCATGCTGGCCATTCTGGCGGGATGTTGGGTCCTGAAATTTGCGTGTAAGTATTGGACTAGATGGAAAATTTATTTTTTCAAACAAAAGTAGTTTGTCTAGAGGATTAATATTACCTGAGAACCTTCCATTCCTTTTTTTAGAAATTTGGTCTAAATGGTTGCTTAGCCCAAGCTATGGGGCTTTTTAACTTTTAAGTGACAATTTAAGATTCAATGTAATTACTCCACCCGTGGAAATTGTATAATGCATCATTGTAAGCAGATGCCAATGGAATAGTTATCCCGAAAATGTAAGGAGGGAATGAATTTGTTTACTGCTCAGTATATTATCAGTAGTGCTGGAATGATGAAGGTAAATGTTTTAACGTATGTGTTTAGTATTAAATTTAAAAATGTTAAATGGTCATCGATATTTTTCAAGTCTTCTCTTAGACAGTTTATCAATAGCTATTTCATAGCATGTTTCTTTCTTAACAGTTCTCTGTGTATCTTGAGGTCTGACTTTATTAATCTCCCTTCTAATTCATTTCTTTAGCATTTTGTTTTCTTTATATTGTAAAAGCCCTTCCTGTTCCTCTTGACTTCTGTGGCAGGAACGTCTCCCCATCCCCATATATTTTCTGGTATGTTTTAACATTATAATTAACTTATGTGCAGCTTATCCCCCAATGGACAATTCATAGAGAGATTTCTTCTAGTGGTTTCTGGAGGGTGTTGGGTTAATAAATTCAATGAGGATTCTTCAAATTACTTAGCAGCCTAAATCTTTCAAGCCCACTACTGATTTTTTGGTGTCCAGTTTAACATGCTTCAGGCTCTTTTAAAATGTATCTGGTTGAGCAGTGAAAATCACTAGTCACTTTGGAAAAGTTCTAATGCCCATGTAACTTCTTAACAGCCACTTAATTTCTTCTCTGCTCTTTTTAAACGGCACATTGGTTAAATGTCTCCTTTGATGCTTTTGATTTCATTTAATTAAAACTCTTTATATTCATCTCCCTGATCTATAGTTCAAAAAGAAAAGTTTTCAAGGAGTCTTGGTACTGTGATCTGTTACATGTAAGAGTAGCTCCTCAGTGACTACCCTGAGATGCTGGTAAACGTTGGCGTGCCGAACAAATGGTTCTGAATGTCTATATCTGCCTATCTTCAGAGACTTTTGGCTAGTATACTTTAAGATACTGAAAAGTAGTGAGGAATTGTGGGACAGTTATTGTATTACAACTGTCTAGCTGCTTCAAGGTTACACATGGGCAGGAAGATAGAACTTCTCTCTTGCTGGGGGTAACACATTTCTGAGGTGTTAAGATCTTGCATGGGGTGCACAAGGAATGTCTTTTATAGTTAGAATTCTGTTTCACTGAGAATATTTAAATCTAGCATTTCTGTGATAGATATTGACTTTATTAAAGCTGTATACATACCAGTTGTTCATCAGGGTTATGAATTTGCCAGGTTGTCGTCCTCTTCTCCATCTCAGCGTTTTTCCTGGTCAAACAGTATCTACTATATATTTGAGTGTCTGTCTGTCTGTCTGTCTGTTGAAGAGCTCCTCTTAAACGGTGAGAGCAGCTAGACCATCAAATTCGGTATACAGCTGCTTCCTCTCATAACTTAAAACAAGATACAGGCGGCTCCCGTCTTGCGACGTGATTGGTTCCTGGGGAAGCATCACAAAGTTGGAGGTGTTGTAACTTGACCCCTCATTTATGATAGGTGCTGTGTGCCGTCGTGAATGCGGGGCTGGGGACGTAAATTGGCAGTTTTGGCCCCTTCTGCACTTACAACCCCCAGCACTTACAAAAATGATTGTAACTCGGGTGGTCGGAAGTTGGGGGTTTCCTGTAAGGGTTTGGTTATGCCAGGAAAATGGGATGTGCCTGGAATAGGATTGCTTCTCATAAAACCATACAGAAAAGAGATAGGATCACCAAGCAGGTGAAAGGGACTGTTTGGGGGCATCCCATCATGAGCCTCCCACCCCCATGGCACCTGTTAGGGAGGGCGAGGGGGGCTGAAGCTTCCTCCATCCAAATTTGTACAAGGTCATTCCCCTTTGTTATGGGCAAGTGCACAGTTTGCTGCATTTCTCACTCTGGCTGGAGAGCACAGGGGGCACCTGGACCTCCCCCAGCTGAGAGCCATGCCCACTGGAGCTGTAGCCACCATTGTGAGGCGCTTCTCACCTAATCCCAGGATGCTGTGGTGACAAAGGGCTGGGATTGTCCTCTCTGCCCTGGGCAGCCTGCTACTGAACCCCTCATTCCCGCCCCATCCCAGAGCAATGATTTAAATTAAGCCTGGATGTTTTCTTTTTAGTTTCCAAAACCCAATAAATAACTGACTTCAGGACCCGAGCAACACCAGCTAAGTCTTCTAGTAGAAAATATATAATAAAGTTACCAGTACAAGATTCTCTCTCCCTTCAGTTGAGCACTAGGGAGCAGATGGATTTTTCTTGCAGAGGGGACGCTGAACATTTTGAGAGAGAACTTGGTGTTTTGTTAACTTTAGAAATGTGACAGGAAAAAAAGCAAATGCTGCCTGTCCAGCGTTCCATGGAGATTTTAATGCACTTCTTGGTTTTCTGTTGAGCTTTATTTAATGTGGTGCTAAAATCCTGATTAGTACACTCCTGGCTGCTAATGCACACAGCTTAGTAAGCAACATACTTTCTAAAAGCAAATGCTTCTCCTCCCTAGTGGGAAACATTGGTAATAACTCAAGGAGTCTGATACAGCTAAGTGCCTATAATTAACAGCACCACTCCATCTGCTCCTGCCAGTTTGTTGTTGGTCTTCTTCAGAGGCATCGCAAGTTAAAGATGGTTATAACAAATAATGGGATGCCTGCTGATGAAGCATTTGTCTAGGAGAAAGGGTTTTACTTGGCTTTTCTTACACTCCTTATTTATCATTGCTTTTAGGGCTTCTGTTTAGTAATTGGTTAAAGTCCACTCAAACATTACAAAAAATAAACATATAAAGGGTGTGCTTACTCTGCTGTCTTTTCTCTTCCCCCTGTGTCTCTATCAAAGCAAAAATTGCAAAAATATTAGATGTGAGTAAATGAAAAGTTCCAGTATTTCACTTCAGGAAATTTTCACATGGTGGCACATGTTGAAATTGTTCTCCAAGTATGTTCTTTAAAAGATATTTACATTTATGGCCTACAACATTTAGTTTGTGTCACTTAAAAAACCCTGCTTTAAGCTTTTCAAAAGAATATTAATAAAAATAGGTATTTGTACGTCTCCCTTACAACGGGTTTTCATATCATTCTGCAAAAGAAGCAGTCTCCTTATCTGCCTGAATCATTCTTCGTCGTCATGCAGTATTTAAGATTATATATATTTTAGAATTATGCGTAATCTCCCTCTTTGTTCCAGATTCAGCTCTTTAGTAAGCATTCTATTGGAGATGCAGCACTCTTATTTGTGCTAGCACAAGACCTGCAATTAATACAGATGGCCCCAAAACCTCAACAGCTATTTGAATTCCCTTTTGGCTCACGCTGGAGGCTGAAGATGTAAGAATAGTAATGCTGAGCAAAAAGGTCTTTTGAGAAGAAAGATTTCTTAGTGCTCCTAGCGAGATGATTATTTTCTGTGAATTTTATATGTACTTAACACACTATCAGTGAGATCTCAATTTTTCAGAGCAGCATAAAAATCAATTGAGACACCATTGTCACCCTACTCCTTGCCCTTGGTCATATCTTTCATTGCTTTCATTATTTTATTGCCTTCATTATTTCTGGGACTGTAATAGAGACAGAAAGTAGCATATCGTTATCCTCCAGCAAGTATGTTGAGATTAAGATTCAAGTATTACTGAATTTCATCATCGCTTTTTTTTCTGAATCAGAGTACAGTTTGATTAAAAACAGCAGAATTCTTTAATATCTTTGGACTTCACAGTTTTCTCCTCCCCCTCCCCTCCTCCCCCTTCCGAAAGAGAAGCTTGACTTTGTTTTTTAAATTTCCCCATTTAAATAAATGACAGTCCTGGTACAATGGCTACTGTGAATGTCAGAATAAATGCATTCAAGAAACACATTCATGGGAATGCACGTATTGGGAATATACAGCTTTAACTACAGCACTACAATCTCTATCTGGCTTCAGAAACATATGCAGTTTTAAAGAGTTTTATAAACTAATAATGAAAAATGGATTCAAAACCTTTTTTTTTTTTTTTTTTAATTTAAAGATTTCAAATCTGATCTCATGTTTTCCGTACACAATATCCTGGATACTAGTAAGACTACTATGCTTAAGGTGTAGGCTTCCAGATGTCAGATTCTGTTATCTGAAAAGACTGCCTTTGGTCCAGGATTCCTACTTTCCTTCTTCAATCAATTCATCAAATCAGTTTCTGCTCTCTCTGTATAGAGACCCCTGTATTTCCATTTCCAATGTCCCAACCTATGTCAACATTTACCATTGGTACCCCAACTAGACCCTGGACCCTTTGATACTAATATGGCTATGCAGTGGCAGCCGTAAAGATAAAACATCAATTAACCTTTTCAAGTTTTTTTAGGACGGTAGTATTTTAAAAGATTTAGGCTGTCTCTACATTGGCAAGATTTTGCGCAAAAGTGGCTGCTTTTGCGCAAAATCTTGCCGCCTGTCTACACTGGCCACGAGTATTTGCGCAAGAACACTGACGTTGTAATGTACAAAATCAGTGCTTTTTACGCAAATACTCTGACGCTCCCGCTTAGGGTTAAGTAAGAGGCCAGAGTAGACAGGTAACATCAATTTCTTGCGCAAGAGAGCGTCTACACTGGCACGTATGCTTTTGTGCAAAAGCAAATGTTTTGCGCAAAGGCACATGCCAGTATAGACGCTCTCTTGCGCAAATACTTTTAATGGAAAAACTCTTCCGTTAAAAGTATTTGTGCAAAATCATGCCAATCATACTTAGATACAGCCTAAGGATCAAAATCTGTACTTAGTTGTACTAGTGTAAATCCATCATAATTCCATTAAGGTTAATGGAGCAATTTAGGGTTTAGACCACTATAACACTGGATAATA